GAGCCGAGGCTGAGCTGCAGCAGAGGCAGCCTGCACCCAGCCTGCAGCCGGCCCACGCAGGGCGGCTGGAGTCAGAGCAGGCGGCTGTGGGGGCAATGAGGGCCCCACCTCAGTCTGGCGGGCATGGCAGGAGCAAGGAGGGGCCTTGGGCGGCATGCCCAGGAGCAGCGCCAGCGTGAGGATTCCTGTGAATGTGCCTTGATGAGGAGGTGAAGGGGCCAGGAAGAGAGGAAGGACGTGGTCAGCCCAAGCCACAGCAAGGTGGGGGACACAAACGGCACCACGTCTGCCTTCCCCCGCTCTACGGCTCTCGGCTGCAGTCACCACCACGACACTGCACACGCAGGCGTGAGTTCCTGTGAGTATGTGGATGTGCATACAAGCACATGTGAATGAGTGTGAGTGTGTGCTCACCCGAGCACCTGTGAACACGCACGTGTGAGTGCACATGAACAAACACATGTGTCTGTGACAGTGCGTGTGAACACATGAGCACATGTGAGCACACAGATGTGATAGCACGTGTGACATGAGTGTGCATGTGAACACAAAGGCAGGAGTACCTGTGAGCATGTGTGTGTGAGCATGCATGGGAGGGTATGTGGGTATGTGCATGTGTGTGCTAGTACGTGTGAACATATGAGTGGGTGATGTGTCTGTATGTGGGGGTTTGCATGGGTGGGTGGCTGTGTGTGATGCGTATGTGCATAAGCGTGTGGGAATTCATGTGTGAGATCCAGGCGCTCTTGGCCGTCGGTGGCTTCACAGGAGTGGAGCGGCCCTTCGGTGACAGCTTGGGCTCCTGATTCTGGCCGCGGCTGTCCTCAGCCCCTACACGGGCACGATTCCTCTCTGTCCTTGGTACTGAACACGGTGGGAATGAGCAATGTGCAGGAAGGACGTCTCCCAGCCGCCCAGCTTCCCACCCCCTCAGCCCGTCACTACTGTGCTGCTCTCGGCGTCTGTCATTTGGCTTTCCTCGATTCCACAGATGAGGGAGGTTACCTGGTATGTGTCTTATCTACCTGTCTATTTCCCTTCCTCTTCTCTTTCAGGTCCATGCAGGTGGTTGCAGTGTTTCTATAGGAAGCTCTTCACATAGAGGGACCACCACTGGAGGGAGGTAGCTAGAAAGAAAAGAGACAGACGACACTTTTTTAAAAGTTATTTTTTATTCTAATTTGTTACCTATGACAGCAAAATGCATTATATTTTATATTACATGATAGACGTTATTATACGTACATATTATATATATGAGATGAAAGAGATACATAATAGATGACAGAGATAGATAATAGGTAATCAGACGGATGATGAATAAATAATAGATGTACTAGATACAGATGGGTAGATAATGCCTGGAGAGATGGACAGATACACAGAGAACAGATGGAGGGTAGGTAGGTAGACTGAACGTTTAGACAGATCCGGGGCACAGCGGCTTCAGCCTGTGAGGTTAAATCCCATAACCTCTGCAGCAGCTGACTCAGTTCAGACTTGGTCAGTGAGCAGGGTATGGTGGTGTACACCCATGATATCAGCTACTTGGGAGGCTGAGGTAGGAGGATCACAAGTTCAAGGTCAGCCTGGGCAGCAGAGTGAGACCCTGTCTCCCCTCTATACCCTCTATTCCCACCCCCTCCAAAAAAAAATTGGTCAATATCCAACCAACCAATGACTTCCCACTTTATCACCACTTTCAGCTCAGGACTCACCAGAGAAAGGTGAATACACAGTTTTAACCAATCCCATAGGATGCCCCCCGTCTAGGCCATCACCCCAGCCTCTGTAGCCGAAGAGCCTCCGTTGGGCTCGCCTGAGCCTTCCTCCTTTTCCATGATGAAGGTTTCCGCTCCTCAGTCTGCCTGAGAGCTTCTGCTAAACCCAAGCGATGGTGGACAGATCCCTTGCAAACTCTGAATCAATAGAGCGCGCTCACATTGGGGGTAGACTCATTTATTGCCGCTGTCTTTGTACATATTTATGTCCCAGTGCAATCGTCTTGGGCTTTTGTTTGGATAATCACTCTCCAAGATCAACATGAGCATGCCCAGGGGTGACCTGGGCATCCATTGCACCAGCTTGGATGGTGATGTCCACACTTGTGTCCACGCTGATTTATGGCATTGCTCCCACCAAAAGGCCCAAAGGCTGAATGGTAGGCGTCGAGATGGCACGCTGCACCTGGTGATAAAGGCATACCCACATTAGACATCTGCTGCCTGTACACCATATCTACTGTCCCTCTCTGGCACCACTGGGAGACATGAAGTCAAGGTGGAAGAGCTCCAGGATGACAGGAGCCTGGGTCCCTGAGTCACCGTGTGGAGGGATCCACCTGCCAATCAGGAGCACTCTTACTTATTTCACCGGAGCGCAAAGTCGACTCAAACGAGATCTTGTTCATTGTGAGGTTCTGGGGTCTTATCCATTGTGGCAGCTTCCAGCACCTAAACCTATTCTCCAGACTCCAGTAAAGATGGACAGGGGCCAATGGAGCTGAGTGTACACAATGTGACAGGGCTACGGGACAGAGCCCGGGGCATTTGGGAAACAGAAAGAAGCTGTAAGAGAGGAACACAGAGATGTTGAGGTCCGGGCAGTGGACTGTCCATCGCAGGGGGGTTGGGTAGGACAAAGGCAAAAGTAGGTTTTATTCCAATGCGGTGGGGCTCGCTTGGAAAGTGAATTGGTGGACTCACATGGTTTGATTTATGTTTGTAAAGGTGCAGCTGGAATACGGGTGGGGAGAGCAGAGGGTGGGAGGCAGGAGGTTCAAGAGGAGACAGGGCCTGCCCGGAGATCCAGGATGGAGGGCTCGGAAGGCAGCCTTTGAGACTGGTTGGTCGATTTCACGTAGGACGGAGAAGAACCCAGGACCTGGAGGAAAAGAATTTCCACCAAGAGCATAAAACCCGGGTTGGAGGGTGGATCATCCTCAGCCAAGAAACAAAGCCATCAAGTGATGAATGTCCTTGGGTCACATAGTTATGGGACAGGCATTCTCCGTATTTATTTTATTGAAATTAAAATCCAGAAGCATCGTCTATAAAACTAGCCCCGAGGCAGCAACCTCCTTCTCTGAACCCAAGATTGGCAAATTAGTTTCTGCAAAAACGGCTTCACCTGTCACATTAAATGAATGGGGCTGATTTGAATTTTACTTGGTTCGCAGTTTTACAGCACTTAATCTGAAAATTATTTCGGTTTTATCGTTAGATCAAAGCTGTGAAAACGTATAAAATTTAGACCTCATTTTGCCACGTGGGTACTTAAGTCACATTACTATCCAAATGATTAAGAGGAGATGCGTGATTTTTTTTTTTTCTCTTTTGAAAGGGACGTGGGATTCGTTCAGTTTGGGCAAACACTGCCTGAGGGTCCTGCTGAAGTGCTGTCATCGGTACCCAAAGTTGGATCCATTAGTCTCCCGGTGTGTGGAGGAGACAGGATTCTGCTGAGGGACATGGCCTCCCTCCTGGCCCTGGGTAAGAGCATCGGTTCCTGCCCTTGGCTGTGGTGGCCATCACCTGCCGGTGTCCTGATTGCTGCCCTAATACCTCGGGATGCCCTAATAACCCTGGAAATCACAACTTGATGGTTTCAGGTGAGGCCTGGGCACTGGAGGGACACGGACCTGCCCAGGTGATTAGAATGTGCCGGCACGAGGATGGGGAAAACCTCACCAGCCTCCTGACCGGCTGAAGTTCAGGACTCAGTTGTACCAGAGGATGGAAGCCCAGGAGGTCACCTCATCAGAGGGAAAGCCCCAGTCCTCTTGGAAGGAAGCTCAGGTAAGGTGGAGGCACATTCCTTGCCCTCTTGGTCTCTCTGCGTGTGTATTTCTACAGAGGAAAAAAAAAAAGCAAGGAAGAAATAAAAACATAGGAAACAGGCCACACCTTCCTGCCTTTAAAAACGATTTCTTGTATTAAATGGCTGTCCAGAGTGAACCCCTCAGGATGAATCCTGTGGCCCAGAAGTCAGCAAGAGCAGTGGGGAGAGGGACATGTCCCCTCCTCTAGGCCTGGAGCCACTTCCTGCCACAGCTGGAAATGATGGGGTGGGCTGGAGCAGGCGTGAGGGCTGGTTGATGCCTCTGTGCGTGTCCACAGCATCTCTGTGCCTCCTGTCCAGGGCTGGACCTCCGGCTGCTCACAGCCTCTCTTCCACGTCGCCTCTTTGTGAGATCCCAGGACAGTCTCCTAAGGGTCTGAATTGTGCCTTCCCTCTCTTTTCTCCAAAGCCTGTCATGCCCTGTACTGGGTCCTGTTCTCAGAACAGGAGACCTTTCTCTGGACCCTGATGCTGGGCCAGTGCTTGTACACACTAGGCACCCAGAGGGTGTCAGAGCATCAAACACCAAACCCGTCTCGGTTAAAATTATTTTTTTAATTTCTGCTTTGGTCTCCATCCTGCAAGTCGGCTCAGCGTGATTTGTCCGGGTGAAGGCTGGCTGACTAGAGGAGGTAAGGACAGCCAGACTGGCTGGAGGAGCCTAACGCAGGAGCGGGGACTGCCGTCCCATCTTACTCTGGGTCTCATTTGGCATAGCCTCCCCCTTAAAAGGGAGCCTGACACAGAGTGTGTTTGCCATGAGTTTTACTTGGGGGAGTGATTACAGGACCCAGGGGTGAGGAGTGGAGCAAGGTGCAGGGGCCATACATTATCAAGGTCAGGGGCTTGATTCCACGGGAGGATGTCTCCGCGACTCCCCTTCCTGAGGTGGCCGTGGAGGTTTGTGGCCTCCTCCAGGCTCTTCCTGGAGGACACCTCGCATCAGACATGGTCAGCAAAGCGAGAGGCGAGCAGAGCCTGGGCAGGCCCTTCCTCCCCGGGATGCTCTGGGCTTTCTGGAGGTGACAACTGCAGCTTCAGCTAAGGGCAGAAGTGGGTTGGCCCAGGGTGACTCAGGACGCCTGCCAGTAGCCACAGAGATGTTAGGGAGGATGCCGAACCTCTCCTGCCTCCCTTTTTAGCGTCTATCCCACAGCAGTTTGGAGCAGGCCATCCTCAGAGCAGAGGTTTTCAAGAAGAGGACCCGCAGCACGCGTAGCTGAGGCCCCGTCCCCATGCAGAGCTACCTGGGCAGAAAGCTGTGTTTAAAAAACTCTCCAGGGATTCTGATGCACACCAAATCCTCAGAACCACTGACCTGGAATTTTGTTTCCATTTTTCTCATTCTGTTCTCCACATTTAATCCTTGGGCGCATATTTACTGAGATTGGCCACGAGAGAAGCTCTGAGCTGGGCTGCAGAGAGAGAGAGTCCCTGTCCTTGCAGTTCCGTGGCCTCTGGGAGGGCATAAAAGGCCTGGCCTGTTGCTGTTTGGGGTCAAGATACAACCCCCAAACGCCCTCTTACCCCCAGTGACCTGCGTCCTCCAGCCATGTCCACCTGCCTATAGTTGCCACCTACAAGTCCTTTTCAAATAATTAATCCATCAAGTGGATTAATCTCCCGATGAGGTGATAGCTCTCATAATCCCATCTTTCCACCTCTGAACATCGCTGCATTACCCAATGCATGAGATCTTAGGGGGACGTTCCTAAATCCAAAGCATAATACCACTCAATGACCAGAGGTATCCACAGGGACTTCAGCGTGGACCGACCTTTCCTGTGTTCAGCCACTGCAAGTTGGGCATGTTGGGTAAGAGAGTGAGCTCTCCCTGATGGATTGAAAACACACAAGGAGCACTTCTTAGGATCCATGTGATCAGAGAGCAGCTCTCACAGTCCCAGGAATTCAAAAGGGCCTGGTTGGGCATCTGCTTTGACAGTGGGCAGCTCCAGGGAGGAGAGGGTGAACTTGGCTTTGCACACCTGCTGCAGGTACCAAAGGTCTATCCAAAGAAACATGGTGCGCAGATGTACAGGTCCAAAATTCCCCACAGGCCGGGGGTGGAGACCGACCTTGTGAACCGTGAGTGTGTAAGTGGTTGCTCAGAAAGAGAGGGTTTGAAACAAGCTCCAAAGCACCCCAGTATTTTACAGATGGGTGGTGGGGAGTACTCACACAGAGAGAAGAGAAACTGGAGAAGACGCCTAGGGTCCACGTGCCAAGTGCTGTGTGTTGGGGATAAGGGACTTCAGAGGGCCCTGGACTCACACAGAGGGATGACCTAGGGGACACAGTTTGGAGAGCGTCGTGGGAAAGCTAGCAGATGGGGTTGAGGTCTGTAGTGTGCATGTGGCTGATTCCAGGCGGCATGTCGTGTGTCCCTGGAGAGACATTCTTGAACAATTAAACCCTGAGAACTGTGTAGACACCGGATTAAAGGTGGAAGGGCCACACGTGGCCTGGGCTCAAGTCAGACTCCACCATGTGCCAGCTGAGTGGCCTTGGGAAACTGCTGAAATTTTCGGGGCCTGTTTTCTCATCTGTAAAATAAAGTGACTGTAAGACCCAACTCCCAGGCTCTTGAAGAATCCAGTGAGTTAATATACACCTAGTGTCCAGACCAGTGTTTGACAGGCACTAACGGAGCAAAGATGTTGGATTTTACCTTTTCATGTGGCAGAATTTCTTAAGCATGGGGGATACTAACCTTCTCAATACAGTTCTGTTTTTTCAAAGCTATTGGTTAGGCATCATCGGGGCACTTGTTAAAGGCATGACTGCCTGGTTCTATCCCAGATGCTTGGACCTATAGATTCACAAAGAGGTGTTCCTGGGACCCCGTTACCAGCAGATTTCCACACCCAGGCACTTCATACCTCAGGGAACGTGAGCAATTCTGCTGGAACCAATCGGGGCATGTGAGTGCCAAAGATGTGTGCACAGGGCTCCAGGGATTGGATGGGGCTGGTTAAATCTCGGGAGGGAGAAGCTTGGGAGGCCATGGGAGAGGACCAAGCGGTACAGATAGTCTCCACTTACGATGGTTCAACTTACACTGTTCTGACTCGTCGCTGGTGTGAAAGTAATATGCACTCAGTAGAACCCCGACTTCCTATTTTGGACTCTGATCTTACCCTGGACTAGTGACATATGGTGTGATCCTCTCTGGTGATGCAGGGCAGCAGTGGTGAGCCACAGCTCACAGCCAGCCTCGAGATCGCGATGGAGATCAACCCACACTCTATGGAGCGCTACGTGGCTACGCCAGCAAGCTCTGCAGGTCAGGTACATTCGCCGCACTCTCAGCTTGTGTTATCTCCGCCTTACGATGGGTTTCTTGGGACCTCACACCTTTCTAGGTTGAGGAAAGTCTGCATTTGATTGAGTCAAGGTGAAGGCCAGGTTGGAGGAAGGTCGGCTCTTCCAGATGGTGGGTCAGGAAGCTGGAGGCCCCGTTCCTCCACAGAGGCACTGAATGTGTCACAGCATACACACCGAAGCAGTTTTGGTGAGCTCTAGAAACCAGCTAGGAATCTGCATTAACCAAGGGTGTGAGTCCCCAGCCATGAGAAATCACACGCAAGGCAGCAGGCAATTTTGAGGCATTCTTGCTCTCCTTTGACCCATCCTCCTCTCCTTCCTGCGGCCTGGCAGAGTGTGAAGGAAGCGTACCTATTTTTGGTTCCTCTCTTGGGATGCAGGAGGAAGAGGAGGATTTGCTTAGAAAGTCGGGGCTTGCCTGGGCACCGCCTGTGGTTTTTGTCTGACCTAACTAGGAGCACTAGAGGAAATGGTGTTGTGGTCTGGGTATTCGGATGGGGGTCCTCCAAAGTCACGCGGCGTGCTGTGGCATGCCAGAGCGGCAGGGGCCTGGGGACCGAGAGTGTGGGCAAAGAAGACCACAGAACCCCTCGAGTCCTGAACAGGAACATAGATGAGGGGAGAAATTTATGACATTCCTGTAGAAACACAGAAACACGCACACATGCACCCAACGCAGGGCACGTGCTCTGGGTCAGATCTTACGTTAGATCACAAAACATGTCTTAAAAAATTCAAGAAGACCGAAATCATACCAAGGATCTTGTCTAACCACAATGGTATGAAGTCAGAACTCAACAACAGGAAAAATGGGCCATTGACAAACATGTTGAATTAAACGATGTGCTCAAGAATACCAAAGGTCAAAGAAGAAATCAAAAGGGATTCAAGAAATGTTTTGAAGCACATAAACATGGAACTAAAACACACCAAGACATTTGGGATGCTGCAAAACATTGCTGCTAACAGGGAATTTTACACCCATAAATACATTAAGAGAGAAAAGAAAGATCTCAAAGAGACAATCCAACCTCACACCTCAAACCTAGAAAAAGAACAGACCGACGAAATTCAGCGGAAGCAAGTGACAAAGACGAGAACAGAAAAAAATGAAAGAGAATAGAAAGTAGAAAAGATCAAAGGAACTGAAGTTGGTTTTGTGAAAAGATAAACAAAACGGGAAAATACATTAATTATGAAAGAGAGAAGCCTCAAGATCAGAAATGAATGAGGCAACATTACAAATGAGAACCACAGAAATGCCACGTAAGAAACTACTTTGAACAGTTACGTGCCAGTAACTTGTAATCGCCTGGGAGAAACGTACAAATTCCTAGAAGCATTTATCTACCTAGACTGAATTAGGAAGAAATGTGAAATCTGAACCGACTAATAAAAACATTGAATTCTCAAGTGATGGAATCATTAAACCACATTAAATGCCGTTAAAGAGTGGCCCAGGACCTGACAGCTTTACTAGTGAATTCCACCAAACATTTAAAGAAAAAAAATCATACTGATTCTTCTCACACGCTTACACAAAAAAATTAAATAGAAGGAGATACTTTCAAATTTATCACCCCGATATAAAAAACCGCAGATATAGCCCTGATGAAGAAGATGCAACCATCCTCAACACAACACCAACCAACAGAACTGAAATCTCTGTACGTCGTGACCAAGTGGGATTTACTCCTGGAATGCAGAGCTGGCCTCTACAGGTGGCCTCTACAGGTGGCCTCTACGGAAAACCGCACAGCAGTTCCTCAAACAATCACAAATAAAACTAACACTTGCTCCAGAAATTCCACTTCTGGATATTCACCTCAAAGAATTAAAAGCAGAGGGTCCAAGAAAGGATATCTGTACACCCAAGTTCCTGGCAGCATTATTCACCATGTCCCCAGCTGGAAGCCACTGCCCCAGGGTCCGCTGATGGACGACTGCATACACAAAACGTGGTGGGTACAGATGGCGGAAGGTCATTCAGCTTTAGAAAAGGAGGAGGGTTCCGACACCGGTCACACGTGGGTGAACCGTGAGGACGCCAAGCTGAGGGAGATCGGCCTATCACCAGAGGACCAATAAAATATGGTTCCCTTTATGTGAGGTGGAGGGGTTGTCACACTCACAGACGACAGCAGAGTGGCGGTGGAGCCAGGATTCCTGTTTTGCAAGATGAGAACGGTTCTGGAGGTTGCAGGTGGTGATAGCTGAGCTTCATGCCACTGAACTAGAGGTGCTGAAAAATGAAGAAGGTGGTCCATTTTATGTCAAGTACATTTTGCCATAACTAACAAGAAAACACGGGCCATGAAAACTTATAAAAGCAGAAATGGAAGGGCCTCCAAGCCCCAAGCGGGAGGGTGGCATGCCCCTAGGGGATCTGAGTGCTGTTTTCCACGTGCACCAAGCCTGGGTGGGAGGAAGATAGGGATCAGTATCGAGGTCAGTGGTTCTCAGTCATCTCAGTGCATCAGGTCGGCGGTGGGGGTATTAGCCTCAGTGCACCCCAGGATCTGTCATCCAGTGGGTCGAGGGAGGGTCAGAGAATGGGGGTTTCTGATAACTCTTGGACGATGCTGAAGCTGTTGGTCCCAGGACCTTGCTGGAGAAGGAAAAAGGCAGAAATCTAAGAAAGCAGCCACCGGGAGGGAGAGGCCCGTGACCCTCGCAGGGGACGTGGACACCTGGTCTGGACTATTTATGCTCATGAGCTTCGAGGTTTATAAGAAGCCCCGTGAGGTGCATTTCTTCCCTGCTCACAGAAAGAACATCGTGGCATAAACAAACCCAAATGACCCATTTCCTGGACGCCCCCTCTCTGCCCCAGGTTCAGCAGAACCGCAACCACCTGGCCCTGCTGAGAGGCACCCTCCCACTTTATGGCCTGCTTTTATGGGCCTGGCGTAGCGGCTCCATCCTGGGTGACGGCTTTCTCGGCTGTCACGTGACCTGGCGGGATCGAGGCCTGCACTCCCTGGGCTTCCTGGCTTTGATGCCTCTTAGCCAGCAGCGCGGGGTTAATCATTCTCCAGGCAGAAGCCAGGAATCGCAGCCTGACGGCAGGCTGGGCGACTCCCCTAAGCGTGGAGGGGAGCGCGGGGAGACAGCTGGCTCTTGGCAGGCTTTCCAGGAGATGTTGCTTCCTTCTTTCCTGGAAAAACGTCCTGATTCCAACGGCCTCTGCAGCTGCTGGGAAGATAGCAGATTGCGCTCTGGGCCCGTCCACCTGGATCAGATATTGGGCAGTTGGGGCCCTAAGGCTGGCCCAACCCCACCTGGACCTGGCCCCACTTGGGTCTCCTGGGAGCATCTACAAGGTGGGGGGTGGGGCCTGCAGGCTCAGCCGCCTGCAGGCCCTTGAGCCAGGCTCCGGGGCCATCCTTCTGATTTTTCATGGCCACATTCTTGGCCTGATGCATAATCCCCCACTGGGTCCTCTGTTGAATGTGGGTCCCAGGAAGGCTGCGGAGGGCTGGGGGGGCAGCTGGGGAGCAGAATTTGGCTCCAGGACGCATCATGGTCCCAGGACTCTCTGGCTGGAAGCTGCTCTCCTTCCCAGAGCAGCACTTGCTCTCTGGGGAGTGGTGGGGCCGGGCTCATGGTGGATCATCGTGCAGTATCTATGAGCACCATCATGCTGCCATGGGCCTCAGGTCCTTGTGAGGCCTGCAAAGATGGGGTGGTCTTGTTTCCTCCCAGGAGAGCCTGGAGGTGCCCCGTGTGCTAGATAAGATGGGAGCAGAGCAAGGTGAGCAGGAGGAGCAGGCTTCACAGGGGGGACTTACACTCCCGGGTGGCGGCTGGAGACCAATACTAATCCCAATAGCTCCTAGCTTTGGTGACACTGGCTCAGAGAAGCCGGCCTGTGCAGACGTGGGGTTGGTAGAGAACGGGCCTTTCCAGCCTCTGTGGACTAAGTGGAATGAAATATGGATATGGCCCTAGTAACTCTGGGAATGGAAACCGGATGACATGACATGGAAGGAGGACTAAGGTGTCCTTGTTCCCAAACACACAAGCTTCCGTGTGCATAAAGCACATGGCCTCTGCACTGTGACAGATGGCACATGGCTGTTCTCAGGGTCTTCCGTTGAGGTCCCACCTCTGGACAGACCTGAGAAGGGGGTGGGAGGGAAGGAGAGAGAGGGGTTTAGGACCATCTCCAGCACCTGGAGGGGTTCCATGCTGACTGAGGACGATTGACTGGGGCAGAGGAGCAGCCTCCACTCTGGCTGTCTGCCCAGTCCCTCTCCACTGCCCATCAGGCTGAGTGTAGAGGGAGGACCGAGGTACAAAATGAGAGTAGTTGCTGTAGATTGGACATTCAGACTCCTGTCTTCATTAAGTACCTAACTATGTCCTTAAAAATATATGTTTAAAAAAAACCCCACACACATTAAAATCTCATTTTTTAATTTATGAAAAGCAAAGAAATAACTGGAACAAAGTTTGAATGCACATATGTGTAAATACCATCAGACCCCCCATATCCGTAGGTTCCTCGTCTGCAGATTCAACTGACTGTGGATGGGACCTATTGGGAAAAAACATTGTGCCTGTAACTGAACATGCACAGACTTCTCCCCTTGCCATCCTTCCCTAAGTACAGTATAACAGCTATCCACATAGCGTTCATGTGGCACTGAGTATTATAAATACTCTAGGAATGATTTAAAAGACTGAGAATGTGTGCAGGTTCTATGCAAATGCTATGCCATTCTATATCATGGATTTGTACATCCCTGGAGTTTGGAATCTGAGATATTCCCAGAAATAAATAATGCATTGCTGATATTAAAATATGACTGTACTAAAATATGTGCAGAAAGATATTTCTGATGAGCCTATAGCTGGAGAATGCTCTAAATCTGAATCCTGAATGCATGAAATACACTTTCATGGAGGGAGAATATTGTCAGAATTATAAATAAGGCCATGAAAAGTTTAGATTTTCGATGATGCTTTTAGGAGATTGAGT